CGAGTAAATATCTTGCAGTGGCGGTAAACGGGAATTGAATAAACATTTTTCAGCAAATAGACCCGACAATGGTACGAATTTAAAAGTCGCTGAGACGAGCACAGGTGGTTCTCGGGAAGGCGGTACGCCGATTCGCTTGGGTAAAAGCTCCGAACGGAAAAATTGCATTTCAGCTATGTAGCTTACTCCTCGTTCCTCTGACTCTTCTTCCATCCCTTATCTTCTTCTATCCCAACCACACTTGCTTCTTCTTCTTCTTCATCTTTTTCATCTTCTTCATATTCATTTTTTTTCAATTTCTCTCTCTCTCTCTCTCTCTTTCATAGCAATTTTGCAGTCACCTTTTCCTTCTCTTTTTCATACTACTACAGTAAAAACTTCTTCCTACTTCTCCTCTTCCTCTTCTTCTTCTTCTACTTTCTCCTCCCTCCTCTTCTTTCTCTACCTCTTTCTTCTTTCTTCTTTTTCTCCTCCTTCTCCTCCTCCTCCTCCTTCTCCTTCTCCTTATCGTCATCCACGTCGTTCGAATGTAACCGACTTTTCCGGTTTACCGGTTATCTCTCGATTCTTGCGCTGAGAATTGGTTATAAATGCTAATGTACGAACATACCCCAACCTCCCTCTGTCTCTCTCTCTCTTTCTCTCTCTCTCTCTCTCTCTCCCTCCCTCCCTCCTTTTCGCCCGTTCGTAATGTCGACGAAGCTACCACAGGCAATCTCCACGAAAGAAGATTCCCAAGATGAAATACGGGGTTGAGCAAGTTCTGCGTAAACCGGCGAATCTTTATGGTATTTCTGATTTTCCCGACCGGGAAAGTGCGAACGCGAGCAGGATATCGAGAAAGAGAGAGAGAGAGAGAGAGAGAAACAGAGAAAAAGAGAGAGCAAAAGGAAAGTTAGAAAGCCAATACGTGTAATCGAATTTGTATTGGAAAGCAAATTTTATGTCGATCACAACTTTCAATACGTATTCATGTATAATAAAAGTATCTTAAAAATGTATTAGTACATTTCTCAAAAAGTTAACTATAGATGTACATGCATATATTATTTTTAAAACGTCAAATATTCGCACGAGAAATTTTCTTTTCCTACCCTTGTTCATTTTTCATTTTTCTTCTTTTCTTTTCTTTTTTTTTTTTTCTTCTTTTTTCTTTTTTTTTTTTGTTCTTTCCGCCTTCCTCCTCCTCCTCCTTCTTCGTCCCTCTTCCAAAAGGAAAAGAGAACGTAGAAATAAAATATAGAGAGAAAGGATATTGGATAATACGTTAACAACGTTTACAGTGTGCCACTTGCAAGCTCGCTCACATTATATACATACATAGGTTATATCTACGTAGAATAGGTAAAGATAGGTATATACATACGTAGATTCGATTTATGATCGAGGGGTAGTTTGTCCTGTATTCATGGAAGTGTTTCTTTCCAAGCGAATACGCGTCGACTGATCGAGAATACCGATCGATCACTGGAGGCAATAAATTAACGTCGAGTTAGTAGTAACCCGATGTGAAACCAATTTCTCTTCGTATGCGTATAACTTGCTTGTGCGTGTCTACGTCAATTGCTATAAAAGATGCATTATAAAATACATACGTACATACATGCATATACATATATGTATAATCCTGTATTTGTAGGATAGTATTTTATAGTTATATGTACGTAAAAGAAAGGGTGAACGGTGTGATGAAATCAACGTGAAACGATTTCTCTGTTTTAAACACCATTGGCTATTTCATTTGAAACTAGGTCAAGCTCTTTCTCCTACACCTTTATCTTTCCTTTTTCTTTCCTTTTATCTTTTTTTTTTTTTTTTTTTCTTTTTTTTTGTTCCTTCTATCTTTCTTTATACAAACACTGTATGTGTTCTTTCGTAGCCAAGCTTCGTTGTAAATCTTCTCGAGACAACTAGACGCTTCCTTGGACGATCTCTTCAACGCGAATTAAGAAGAGAAACGATTCTAGGTGAACATCCGACGCTGATTTCTTTCTGCGGTCTTATTCTTTGAGATTCTTCTTCTCCTCTCTCTCTCTCTCTCTCTCTCTCGTTTTCTTTTTCCTTCTGACGTGTTAAGTATCATATTTATCTCAAGTATTGTATACTAATTGATACCTTCTGTCAAAGAGAGAGACAGAGAGAGAGAAAGAGAGAGAAGAACTTGTAGAGTTTCCTTAAAGAAGGAGATGAAAAAAGAAGAAGAAAAAAAGCAAATTAAAGTAAAAAAAAAAAAAAAAAAAAAAAAAAAAAAAGAAAACTGATGTTTCGCGTAATACTTTCTATACTTTAAGCAAGACACTCTTGAATTCCGGATAGGGACGACAAGGACGTTGAATTATCGAGGAAGATCCTTTGGGAAATCGTTGGAAAGAACTTCTATCGTGCTTTTCCTTTTTCCTTCTCTTTCCTTCCTTTCTTTCTTCCTTTCTTCCTTTTTTCCAACCTTCTCTTCCTCTTCTTCTTCCCCCCTTTTTTTTTTTTTACATCTTCGCGTTCACTTCGAAAATCAGCTGAATTCTTTGCGTCGAGGCCGTAATCGATGAATTATTGTCGATTGCCACGAGAATGAAGAAGATAGTAAAAAAGAGAAGTTTGGTGTACACAAAATGGTTTGACAATCAATCAAGAAATCATTCATGCAAATTATTATTATAATAATTCGTATGAAAGGAAAGTAAAAGATAGAGAGGGAAGAAAAATCTGCAATTTATTTTCCATGATGACGATGATTTATCCAAGGTTCACATTCAAACGAGAACAACGGGTATTATTATAAACCCGTAAGAAAGTTAAGAAAGGGGTTGCTCTCCCCCTTGCTTGACTCGTCGTAACCGGATAGAAAAATATCGTCTGAAAGATTTTTGCGCGTATACATAAATTCATGGAGGACGATCGAAGAGAAGTCCCGTTTGAATCTTCAACTTCTTTTTGAAGTACCCACACGAGTGATTCAATGCTTGGTACTTGTCAGAAATGTCAAGAGAGATTTGAATCCGAGATGGCTTTCACAAAAGATTTCGTCCTTTGTCGTTCACCGATAGCTAGCTAGCTACCTCCTCTGGTGTATTTTGTAAATGACAAGGGTCGAAAGTTGCCAATCTTTATCAAACATTTTTCAACAATATCCCTTATTATAAATTCTCGTCGAGTCGTCTTTTAATTGAAAACAAAAACAAAAACGACAGAAAAAAAAAAGAAGGAAAGAAAAGGGAAAGAAAAAAAGAACGTACATATCCATTATATTATTTCTCTGTAATTAAAAGGGCATTGCAATTGAAAATAAAAATTTTATTAGATTCTCGCTTGTAAATTAATCTAACGAAGGTGTTGATGAAAGGAAAAAAAAAAATAAAGATGAAAAAAAAAAAAGAAAGGAAAGGTTACACGGTAACAATTAATTACTCGGGTTATACGATTTTAACGAGTTATTATTAAATGAAGTTGATTAAAACAATGATGATGGTTAATCGGACAGTATTCCAAAAGTCAAACTTTATTCCTACATTCTTGTAAATGAAAGTACAATAATGCGAGCGAACAACCAGGGGCGTTTGGTTGGGGGAAGGGGGTAGAATAGAGTAGGGAGTAAAAGGGACGTGACGGAATTTCAGTATATCACTTTACGCTCACGACCTTTTCGTACTTCCTCTATATCCCACCAGTACAATAAACGTTAATGCAAAGGGGAGGTACGAATTTCGTACGATCCTATTCTCTTCTCTTCCATCCTCTTCTCATTATCTCCGGGTGATACTCGTGATAATATAAATTACATTCGAATACACATAGAAATTCTTTTTTCAAGATAATTTCCACTCCAACTTTCATGTATTTGTATGTGTGCGTGTATATATATATATATACGTTCTATGTTGTACATTAAGAGACTCATTATTATTATTATTATTATTATTATTATTATTAAAATATCTCATTTGTTCGTTATCTTTTTTTTTTGTTTAATTTACTTTTTTTAACTTATCCTTAAATTTTGTAAAAATTTTTCTCCTCAAAACTGAAAAAACTTTTAAATATCTATGAGAATACATTAAGTTCCTATCTTTCTTTCTTTCTGTCCTTTCAATATATACATACATACATATATATATATATCTTTCTTTCTTTTTTTGTCTTTCTCAAACACTTGAAATTTTCATCAAATGGTTTCTCGGGTTTCTGTTTTTTGAAGGGACAGACAACCCTGAGAGTAAAAGATAGATGAAGATAGATGGATAGGGAAAAGAGAAGGACAGAAGTTAGAAAGGGAGATGGAAAGGGAAATTTACATTCGTAAGTACCTGCGATGAGCGAGAACGCGTTATTTCTTATTCATTCCAACCCCTCGACAACTTGACGATAACTCGTTCTCTGATTAAAGACGCGCTCCTTTTCTCTTGTCTCGTTGTTCTCCTTCCTCGATGGACCGTTTTCGCCCATCGATTCTCCTCTTTTTCCTTCTCCTTCTACACCACCACCTTCACCATCTCTTCCTCCTTTTCCTTCTTCTCCTCCTTTCTTAGCTCTTCCATTTCCATTTGCGTATTTTAAAAGCGTTACTGTATTTTCAAGTAGTCGAGCGTAGGTAACTTTACTTTAGGAAAAAAGTGTTACGAATTTTCTTACAATTTTCTTATGCAAGATATCGTTTCATACTTTTAAACTCTTAGTAATCTAACCTTTTTCTTCTTCTTCTTCTTCTTTTCCTGCTTCTTCTTTTTTCTTTTTTCTGTCAAGAGAGAAAGAGAGAGAGAGAGAGAGAGAGAGAGAGAAAAAAGAGAAGAAAAAATACCTTACTGTCGCATTAACATTCATAGTTTACTATCATAAAATATTGTCGAAGAAATAAATTAGTTAGAATGTTAATAAACATTTTTTGATAATAATAATAATAATCGTTTAATTTATAGTTAGAATAAGAAAAAAGAATTATTGAAATTATATATGTATGTATATATATATATGTATATATACATATATTTCTTTTTGTTTTCTTTTTGCAGAAAATCCATTCGAAACGCATCGGGTGGCAAGAACGAAAAATGAAGAAAATATCTTGGCTCGTTTCGTACGATCGATCATCCACGTTCCTTAGGTCGAATCTTGAAACGACAATCTCATCCAGTCGATTGAGTCTCGTCGAGCAACGTAATAAGAATCTCGGTGTTAGCGATAAGAGAAAGGATAGGAAGCGGCTTGCTAAAGAAATATTTTTAAGGGAATCTCAGCTAAAACGTAGAATATAAAGTGGATTTGTTGATGAGAACGGCAGAATGCGATAAAGATAAATAGAGGAAAAGTCAGGGAGAGAGAGAGAGAGAGAGAGAGAGAGAGAGAGAGAGAGAGAGAGTTATGTACGTATAACAAAAAAAAAACAAAACAAAAAAAAGAAACAGAAAAAAGAAAGAAAACAGAAAACGAACGTCCAAATGGACGTCGAAAAAATAAATGATTTACCGTATATCACGGCTAAAGGAAATATCGAAGTTAGGTTAAAAAAATTTTAACACCGATAATATCGTAAAACTTTTCCAAATCATGTTATTTATGATATATTCGATAAAAAAAAAAGAAAACTACTGGGAAAGATACGTACGACGATGGTATGAACGTTTCATTAATAGAAAGAATTATTAATCGATATGAAACGAGAATTATTCTTTTTTTTTTTTTAAATCCTATTTAAAACATTTAATCCCAAGTCAATAATTCGTGGAAAATATTATATACATGAACGCCACGCGGAAAATAGCGTGAAAAACAGAATAAAATATGATAGAGATTCTCGATTCCTTGACGAGAATAAGATTCCATAGAAAGATTTAGACGGAATAAAAGATAGATATATAGACGGAGAAAGAGAAAGAGAAAGAAAAAAGGAAATAAACTTGAAGGAAAAAGGAGATTTATGATAACTACGATTTTAAAAAGGATTTACATACCGTCGTCATTTCATTTTCTTTTTTTCTTTTTTTTCTTTTTCTTTTGTTTTCTTTCCCTTTACCTAACTAACATTTATGTAAGATATTCCATTCGTAAAATAATAAAATCGATATAATACGACAAATGATTCTATCTATGGGAATAAATCTCGAGGAATTATATATTATCATCGTCAAATGTCTTTTTATGAGAATAATAAAAATAAGTAGGTGATCCTTTGATAAAGGAAGGAGAAAAAGGCTGGTGGGAGAATGGAGAAAGACAACGTTAGACATTATAGGGCTTACGAGGGTTTTAAGCCGGCCAATAATGGCAACACCTCGTCCCTTAAAAGAACAACGTCGGATCATCCAAAAACTTTGCATCCATCGAGGCAAGTTAGATGTTTATGCTTCGGTGGTATACCAGACAAGGCCAGCCAACAATCCTTCCTAAAGGGTTTCGCCATAAATCTTGGTATATGCGCATTAATGGTCGCTTATACGTTACTCGGAAGTTTCATATTCCTTGCAATTGAGGGTGGTACCGATTCTACGGACAATGTTGGAATACACCGAGCCTTGGCAACCATTGCCGTTAGCAGTCAATCTAATAAAAGGATTAATAATACAGCATGGATGATAAAGGTAATAATAATTTTATCATCGTAATCGAATAGACAAAAAAAGATAGTTGATTTATTTCTATTTAATACATATATATACATATATATATTCTGTAAATTAGAAATGGAGCCGGTCACTTGCCAACTTCGTAAAACAAAATGTGAAGAAATGTGACGAAATAATATGTAATTGTTTTTTTTTTTTTTTTTTTTTTTTTTTCCTAATTTAACGATCAAACAAACATTGAACGGAATACATTAAAGTGGTTGAAATGATGCTGTATTTGAATTGCATCGTTGCAACGATTTGCATTAGAGGAATTACGTGAGTTAATCGGGGATAGTGAGAGGGATTGGCTTCTGAAATAAATTATTTTTTATTCGATGGTCATAAAAAAAAAAAAAATATTTTCATCACTCAGTGATATTAAGTTATGAGAATTAGGGAAATTTGTTTAAAAAAAAAAGTGTGGACTCCGTCGAGTCCTTTGACGCCATTAAGTTAAAAAAAAAATAAAAATACAAAAAGCAAAGTTAATTGATTTGCCTTGTGAACGGCTCATCATTAATAATTATTCAATAAAATGATCGTAAAATATTTTGTCAATGTTTCTTTTACTAAATTGTTTTTTTTTTGTTTTCGATTTCTTTTGTTAAGGCAAATAACGAAGCACGCGCTAAAACCGTCGAAAATATATGGGTACTAACGGAAAGCTTGAACATTCTCTACCGTGAAAATTGGACGAGATTGGCAGCCCAAGAGATCGCAAGGTTTCAGGATCAACTGGTGAAAAGGATCATGGACGACATGATAGCGACTCAGAATACTGGCACGTACACTGTTAGTAATGGTGTAAACGGCGATACTGGTACGCACACCGGTAGTAACAGTGCAAGCGGCGATAGTGTCACGGAACGACGAATACCCGAATACGAGTGGAACTTCGCCAAGGCGTTTCTATACTCTTTAACAGTACTGACTACTCTAGGTAAGTATTTATACTCTCTCTCTCGTAATTAAATATTCTACAGATACAGATTACAGTATCCTATAGTTAAAACCCAGTAGTCCGAGAATCAAGAGCTCTTTCAAATATTCAAATAGGAGAGCTTCTATCGTATTCGAATAAGCCTTTGAATTAGTAATGCTAATTCTATTGGTGGATCTGTTGTGGAATTAGAAATTAGAATATCCGTGTTTTTCTGTTTTCTTTATTTTTAATTTTTATCGATTTATTATCGTATTCGACCAACGATTTATCAGTTTCTCGAATTGATTGATTATACTTCAATTGGACGTTGTTAAATTAATGAATGTATAAGCGAGAAAATAAAAAAAGAAAATATATAGTAACTCTAGGATAATTTCGTATACAATCTTTATCGTTGATCTAACGATATCAAAATATAAATTCTATGCTATCACACTAATCAATAAAATCTTTTCGACGTATAAATGCATTTCTTATTTCATATCGTGCATAAGATTTGTATTTCTTCAAAGAACACCGGATAGAATAAATTAAGCCAACGTCGTGATAGAATATTTGTATGTAATTAATAGATCAGTAGCTATAGAGAGAGAGAGAGATAGAGATAGAAAGAGAGACAGATAGAGAGAGAAGGGGAAGATAGAGAGAGAAAGTACCACCACACTTGAGGAGAAACATTACCACATGAACGGTTAATTACTGAAAGCAAATATCATATAATTTGACTCGGCTTGTACTGACTTCTGAAGCTTGACAGGATCATTTGCAGCAGCAGCAGCAGCAGCAGCAGCGACAGCAACAGCGACAGCAGCAACAGTAGTAGTAATAGTAGCAATACCTAAATAGAGTTAAGTTCGTAGTAATTTCCTAATTTCAATACGAGAAAGATTTGTTACGGGTTATTTAGCTTAAGTTAAATGGATCAAGACGACGACTCTCTTTCGAATCATATTATCCTCGAATTTCTCCCATTATCGTGGAAGAGCCTGACGATAATTATCTTATTTTATTAAATCCCTTAAAAAAAAAAAGAAAAAAAAAAAACTGAATTTGATTTTCGAAATTTTACGAATATCATAAATCTTAAAAATAATTGGGCTTTTAAAAAACATTTCTGCATTTTAATGATCTTTACAACGAAAGGTTCTGAAGGATTTTATTCGTATCGTTGCCCGATCTATAATCGACTTAAACTACTTAATCTCTTCCGCCTATACCTAGCGAAACTACTTGCATTTTAGTCTGACCGTTGATCGAACCACGCTACTTATATACTTTAGTCCGACCAATAATGGAGCCACGTTACTTGCACTTTCGTCTGACTAATCCCCATACCATCTCTTTACCATTCCTATCAATAATATTCAAGTAAACTATATAATACTCTTCGATCGTTATCGCTTCGTTATTATCTATACAACCTAATCACATTAATCTCTCAAAACTATAATGACTACAAGGGCTATATCAAAAGGGAAGTTATTGCAGTCGTTAACTTCTACCATAGGTGCATATTCTCTAAGTTCGGAGTTTGCATTCGAGCGATCAAATTCTGAAGTTCGTTTAGGGTTTGTTGACACGTGCTCTCGGGTTTCACGATCTAAGCACAAGTTCTCTACTACTACTACTACTACTACTACTACTACTGCTACTGCTGCTGCTGCTACTGCTGCTGTTGCTTCTGCTGCTACCTCGACAGATTTTAATAGGATATCTCTATTTCCCTTGTTAAAAATAAAATTATAAAAGAAATAAGGGAACGTGTTCCTCTCCTTTTTCTTATATTCTACATATCTCTTTGCTTCTACATTTACCCTGTCCTGGATCATTACAAGGAAATGGAAAAGATTGTAGGGAATATGTAGAATATGCGGATGAATATTTTTAACGAGGAAAAACTTTTCAATAGTTAGAAGAGACAGGAAATCGTTGTTTAAAATCATAAGGATGAAATAGAAGGAGGGCCAATATCAGAGGTCTAAGCATCAATTTTCATGGCAAACAAAGTTGGACATTAGCTTATAATGGGTCTCTATACAGTTGGAAATCTTTTGTCCAATTTTACCATAGAGATTGGAATTGTTGCTTCGGCGTAATGGAAAGACGACAATATTACTTCTTGTATGATCAGCCTGGACGAGCCCAGTGACGTCACGTCCGATCGTTTGCCACAGTTATTACTGAAACAGATTGGAAGTCCGCGAGTTTGTCGGCATTTAAAAAAGAAATAGGAGTAGGGCCATCGTAAACGCGATTCCACGAACCGACCAACCCGAAGAGGATTATCGAATTATCGATATCATATTTCTTCTTTTGTAATCGTTGAGCTTTTGGACCAACAACGAATGCGTATTCGCAAAAGAAATAGGATTTTTATCGGTTACGGTTTCTCTTTTATTACACATATATATATATATATATATATATATATATATATATATATATATATATAGAAAAAAAGAGTAGAAAAAAGAAAAGAAAAGAGAAGAAGAAAGAAAAGAATCGATGGTAAATATTAATTTATTTGTGTGCGTGTGTATATATATATATATATATATATATGTTTTTTTTTTCTTTATTATTTTTTAGTTACAAGCTTTCGATAAGGTATACACGTAAATAAAATATTAATGTAATAATATCTTCGTGTAGATATGAACTCGTGCTTAATACGGGGCAATTGTTTTTATCGTTAGGTGTTGGTAACAAGAGCGTGAGAATTATAAAATATATTCGAGAAAAAAGGGATAGTAATAGAAAGGTAAAATATATATATATATATATATATATATATGTGTACGCGTGTGTGTGCATGTGTCACCAAAAAGCTTTTTCGTACCTATGCAGCTTTTTTCCCCCAGTGCTATTAACCAGAGTAGAAAAAGAACTGGTGGGAAGGTAAAGGGTAGGGGGAGGAGGGGGTAGAGGAGGAGTAGGAGTGGTGGGTGAAAAAAATCCTCGGGCTTTTCTTTTTCTCTTTTTTCGAACGCCGAGGAAAGAGAGAGAGAGAGAGCTAATTAACTTTCAAATCTAATATCGAGATTCATCCTTACTCTCTTTTACCGAGTCGGGCCACGCTTCGGAATTGCTAATTAGAAAGTTACATTTCTAGGCAGGTTTCGCGAAGCTTAAAAGCGTTCTACAATGATCCAACGACCATGTTATATATTTTCGACATCGGGATCATTTCTGTAACATCGAAAAAGATAAAAGAACAAAAAAAAAAAAAAGAAAATAAAAAGAATAGCATCATTGGCCATTTCTCATCGAGCGAATTTTAATTTATTCATTTTATGTCGAAATTAATCGTAGTACGTATGATTTTTATTTTGTTTTTCTTTTTATTCTTTTTCCTTTCCTTTTTTTTTTTTTTTTTTTTTTTTTTTTTTTTTTTTTTTACTTTCTTTCTTTCTTTCTTTCTCCAAGGAGAGATTGGACATGCGATTTAAAAAAAGAAAAAAAAGAGAGAGAATAAGGATGAAAAAACGAATAAATTAGATTTCAGATTCCTCTTTTTTTTTTTCCTTTTTTTTTTTTTTTTTTTTTTTTTTTTTTCTTCTTTTTTGTTATACATTAGAGAAACGATCGACGTCAAAGATAAGATATTTAAATGAGAGAATTCGTTTCGCAAATTAATTCTTTCTCTTTCTCTTAGTCGAGAACCATAATTTGCACTCTCCTTTGCCGTTCCTCCTCTCCTTTTCTTTTGCGGAGAACCCCACTCGAGTTTTTGTTGAATCCAACTGAATTCTTTTCTCTCTTTTTCTCGTTCATTCTTTCTTTCTCTCTATTTCATAGACTTTATCCCTTTCTCTTCTTTTTTTTTTTTTTTTTTTTTTTTTTTTTTTTTTGTAAACGTCATACGACAAGTTAATTACGGACCATATCGCTGTACTTTTTTATCGACTCGCGTTTGAACGCGAAAAGAATCTTGTATACATCTGCGTTCTACTATTAGAAAGAAATAGTTCATGCGCGTTTCCTTGCTATCAAAGGGACGATATTGCTCGAAATGTAAAAGAAAGAAAAAAAAAAAAAAAAAAAAAAAAAGAAAAGAAAAGATAAAAAGAAAAAGAGGAAAAAAAAGTTGAAAACAAGGACATGAAGAAAAAAATTCGATGATTACGTCAAGCGTATATTTTCGAAAGAAAAGAGAGGTTCAGAGATCAAAAAATATGAAAGGAAAGGGAGAGAGAGAGAGAGAGAGAGAGAGAGAAATGGACAGACAGACAGAGAGAACAGATAAGAAAAATTTAATATACAAAATATAAAAATTATTGTCGCGTTTATAAAGAAAGAAAAAAAGTAAGAAAGAAACAAGAAGTTATATTTTTCGAATAGTATAATAAGAAGCTTTGGATCTAATTAATACGAGATAATTCTCTTTTCTTATCAACGTACTGACGCAAACAGATAGGAAAAGTTGAGTTAGTCACGGTTTGATTAATCGCACGGTTACGTCATTCCGACAATAAAGTTACATTTTTTTACGTCTACTAAGTTCGTTAACAAATTGGCTAATATATTTTTTTTTTCTTTTTCTCTTTTTGTTTATTTCTTTTTTATCTCTCTCTCTCTCTCTCTCTCTCTCTCTCTCTCTCTTTTCTTGCCCCTTCCATCAAAACGATCGAACGAACGAACGACTTTATCAAAAATACTCGAAGTTATCGTCGTTTCATTCGTAATTTTATTCTATGTTGATCATTAAACGAAATCCCTAAAAATTAATATAAAAAGAAAAAAAAAGGAAAAAAAAAAAATAAAAGAGAATTTTTTTAACGTGCCTATATGTAATTAATTTAATCATAGTGAGAGAAAAAGAGAGAGATAGAGAGAGATAGAGAGAGAGAGAGAGACGATCATACTATTAGATTCTAATTTTTATATCGTTTAACATTTATAATGGACGATCATTGATTTTAATAATTATAATAGAAAAGATTAGAGCCATAGAAAACGTTTAACTTTCTATAGAGAATATTAATTTCAGATAAACC